GGTATATATAAGATGGTCACAACGTGACGGGACAATGTGTAGGTAGTGAGTAATTGAATCGCAGTCAGACAGTGTGTAATTGAACTCGAGCACGTTAGACGTTCGTTGAGAATTATATCGCGACTGTTGAAATTAAGTGTATCGTAAAGTTGTATTCGGAAAGAATAAACCAATTTTATTTAAGAAAGGACTCGTGTCGCTAAAGTTTCGTCGGAACGAAGTTACGGAAAATTAACTAACGACTGGAGGCGTAACAGTATACTCTATCTGACTATGCTTTATTTGCAAATTATCGCCTTATCGTTGATATAAAAAATCAATTACCGATGTTTTGGCTTTATTATCAGGAAGAATTAGCTTTTATTAAAAGTTCATCTAATTTATCGATTATCTGAAAGCGAAAAACTGAAGTTAGTAATCAGTGTCAGTTTATTTTCGCTGAGAAGGGTGTAATTTTTACAAATAATAGTGTGGTATATTCAAGTCGAATTGAATTAACTGAAAAGCGGTTGAACAAGTCAGCAGAATATCGGGAGATCAGATCAGGATAATTATTCCGGAACAATACTGAAAATTTGAATAATTGAGTCCGAAAAAAAAGAGTATGGACAAAGTAATGCATAAAGTGAATAATTGTTATTAATTAAGAAACAAAGTGTGTGCTTGCTGTTGTCAAACATGGGACTGTCGTTTCAATTCATGTTATATCTTCAACTGATCAGGCAGAATTCATGAACCATACTTTTTAAACTCACTGTTTCTTGCTTTGCATGTAATGGTGGATTTACCCAGAATGACTAGCGCTACCAAAGTGACTGATCATTCTCCTTCAAACACAAAGGAGGCCGTAACCTTGAGATACCTCCTGAACAACTATTGAATGACGCTAGCTATCAATCCTCTTGCACAATATGCAACATTGTAGTAATACTTTCCATGGTAGAAAGGTATTATCTCCCAGAGAATGACAAAGGAAGAAAAGTTAATGGTGTTTCAATGTCGTTTCATTTGAAACCTGCACATAAATAGAATAAAGGGTAAAGTACGAATAAATACGATATCAGTACATTTAGGTAGAAATGCATAGTATATTTATACACCACAATAGCAAGTATATGTTACTCAAAAACAGAAGCAAAATACATGATTCTTTGCTTTCGTACTTATAGTGTGCTTAGTAATAAGTGGCCCTTATGTGGTTCTCTCTATTTTCTATAGTGATATCATATTTTTTCTTAGATATTGGTTATTTTCACACTGTCACAGCAGCAACATGTAGTCCAAGGTGTCTAACATTATCTTGTTCCAGTCACTCCATCCTTTTGTTAAAGAATGTCTTCTGCCAAAAGGATATTTCAGTGTGTATCTTGAGCATGGTTAAACCTAGTTAAAGCTAAAATATTATTTGCTGGTCAAGCTATAGCATCAACTGAATCTGATAGCTGTCTAATGTTTTCAGGGAAGAGAGTTCAAGAAGTAATGCTGTTAACTGAGTTTGGCCATGAGAATAATAATAAGATCAGAGCAGAATATGGCTTTATACACCTAAATCAAATACATCAGGTATGATGGCGTCAAATAACATTTACACCCTTGGCTAACAATTCAAGCGCTATCTGCTGTTCTAGAGTATAAGGTAACGATATATTATTGGGTTAAACATAAAAGAATAATTACGAAACATTCACAACATTCACCCCATCTGAAAAAATTGTACATGCCAAAAACAAGAAAAAAGAATAATATTGTTACGACAGCGGAGGTCACGTGACGCTAGTAACACGTCATGCGCTTCTAGAAAATTCATGTCCCTTCCTGAAGTCTCGAGAGGTTACTAGATATGCGGTATTCTTGTATATATAAGACTGGTAAGAAGTGACGGCAACAATGGAATGTAATTGAACTGCAGACAGAGAGAGACTGACGATTGAGTCGAGCACGTGAGTCGTTCGTTGTGAATTATAGCGTTTGTTATAGCATGACTGTGGAAATTAAGAAAGAACTTGTATCGGTAAAGTTTCTTCGGAAATATTTTTTACGGAAAATTAACTAATGACCAGAGACGTAACAATATGAAACATTGACATTACATGAGCACTCTACTATAAGTTCAATTTATCAGAAAGATTTTTATTACGCAGAAACTGACGGCAAAAGGATACTTCTTCCATCATATTTTGATGTGCATTATGAACAGTGACCATAGGCGCTTCATTAGAAACCTCATGAAGGTCCCCACTTGAGGGACTACACAATTGGATGCAGGTGTCATCAGCCATTTCTTTTTGTGTCTCTTCTGAAGGTGTAGCAACCACAGGTTCCACAGTAGAATGAATGTCATTTTGTAGTGCTAAATGCCTAACAGAAACCACAGTTTCCCTTCCGTCTGCGAGACGATTATGTGCATATTGTAGAGTGGACCTGTTTCAGTGGTCAGATCTTTATGTCAGCTCTTCCAGATTTTTAGCATGCCTTCAAACATACATAGTGACCTTGGATCATATTTTATGTCATCTGAGGTTAGGAACTTACTTCACGAAAAAGGAATTGCTACTAGTCATACCACTCCGTATAACTCACAATGCAATGGCTAAGTTGAGCACTGCAAGGTATTATCTGGAAGGCTATAACTCTGACA